CTCATTTAATCTACACAATAATGCCATGAGGTAGGTACTGTTATTACCCTCATTTTGCAGAGAGACAAACTGAGGCACAGAGAGATTGAAATAACTCACCCAAGGCAACACAGCTGGTAAGTAGTGGGACTGGGATTCAAACCCAGGCAGTCTGGCTCCAAAGTACATGACATTTACCTCTTAAGTGAATTGGTTTCCTTGCAAGTGAATACTACATAAGTGTTGTATCAAGTACAGCCTTAAACAACAAAACTCGTATTAATGCAATGATATGTAAAAATTGAAAAATCGTTCAAATATGCATTTGGATAATGGGAGGATAACAGTACCCAAGGTAAAAAATATTTTTAAGAAGAGATTAAAATATATATTTTGAAGACAAGGGAGATCTGAGTAAACAAGGTAAAGAATACATCTGAAAAGGTACTTAGATGTATATTTTAAGAGAAAGGGAATCACAGTATAAGGTCAGAGTTTTCAACTTTTAAAATATATAACAAAGTTCTTTTAAGTATGGAAGGAAGGTGACTTCCCTTGTTATTTTCCCTCCAGGATTATACAGATGCATACACTTATGCTTACATAGTCATTAGGCTATAATCATACATTTCCAAGGGTTATAATCTTTCACCTGCACTACAAAAGAAACTTATCAGTGTAAATGTCACTGGGTACAGCCTTTTTAGGAGGTAGCTCACTTTGAGATCAATCATCTTTAACATAGAACCTCAGTGAATTCTGGGGCCACACGCATGATACATCACCCACAAAGGGGATAATGCCCTAATTTAAACTGCATTCCTTTTTGTTACCAGGTTTTTATCAGCACCAGGCATGGTTCCTGGGTTATGAGCCGTATCTCTGAAGATGGCTATCCTTGGGACATGGTGTTCCACACCCGATTTAACGCTATGCTCCGAAACATCCTGCCACGAACAGTTGTAAAATGGATGATGGAACTACAGATGAATAAGTGGTTCAACCATGAAAATTATGGTCTTGAGCCTCAAAACAAGTAGAGTTATTTTGCTTTTTTATGGTATACACGTTGATAAGCAAGGTTGTCTGAAGGTGGCTCTCTTTACAAAGGTCCAAATTGTTAACATGGTAGTTCAAACTACAACCTAACAGTATGAGTATCATACCAGACCTTGAATTCAAAATTTGTTTGGTATGCCTTCTAAAAAATACTTACAAAGATGAAGCAAAAATTTTATAAGCTATTCCAGAAAGCAGAACTAGGAAAGAACTTTCTAATGCCCAGAGTTGCCCAACATTGGAGAAAGCTGCTTCAAGGGACTATGATCTACCTTTCAGAGGGATGGAAGGGGAAACATGTAATTCTCCATCTAATAACTTTTGTTCTTCTAATTCTATACCTTGAAGGGTCTTATGGGCAGCCTTTAAGAACGTATGCCTTTCTCTTTGCCAAAAGACAAATCTCTGTTGGTCTCAAAGTTATACATCACTGATATTGCAAACACAAACCATGGATGCTTACTTTGCTTTAGCTGATACAGGCTCCCTCCCTTAAAAAAAAAAAAAAAAAACAGAAGAGCTTTAGAATCTTTTAACAAATGTCATGTGACTGCTGTATTCTGAGGTCCGATACATGTGTCATATATTGTCTTATTTTCAAAAAAAGAAAAGAAAATGTTCTCAAATCTACAAAAAAAGAAACTCCAGAAATATGAGCAGACTTTGTACAAATCCATGATATCACAAACAGAGACTCCACAGATATTTGGGATTAACAAGTATCACCAAACCTAATTTTATACATTAATTTTCACATTGATTCCTTAATAGGTTTCAAAACTAGTGCAAACTTAACAAATATTTTCTTTCTTGCTTATGATTAGATAGGGATTAAATAAAACAGCAAAAGTAATTGAAGCTAGATACCATAAAAAATGGTGGAAACAGAAATGGTGTGATGATCACCACAATACTAGGATTGACCCCAAGCACAGGCAATTTGTGTAAGCCCGTGGGGATACTTCCTTCTCTGAAATGTCTCTTACACACTTCACCTACATGTTTTCCCTTATTTATTGAGGGAAGATATCTGTGATATGAGAATTAAGTTAGAAAACAAGGGTTGGGGCAGGCCAACTAGTCAATTTAGAGTTTTATGGATATTTGATAAACCCTTTTATTTTCAGAGCCACTCCCAAAAAACATCAAGAGGATTCAAGTAAGTGATCCTTCTGAGCGTTTTTTTTTTTTTTCTGTGTGTTGCAGGTACCTTATGAAAGAACCTGTATTAAATGATGATCTTCCAAGTCGTCTACTCTATGGAGCCATCAAGGTGAAACCAAGAGTGAAAGAGCTCACAGAAACTTCCGCCATCTTTGAGGATGAAACGGTGGAGAAAGACATTGATGTCATTGTCTTTGCAACGGGATATACTTTCTCTTTTCCCTTCCTTGAAGAATCACTTGTTAAAGTAGAGAATAATATGGTCTCACTGTATAAACACATCTTCCCATCTCACCTGGAGAAGTCAACCCTTGCATGCATTGGTCTCATCCAGCCCCTAGGTTCCATTTTCCCAACTGTCGAACTCCAAGCTCGTTGGGTGACAAGAGTTTTCAAAGGTAAGTGAATGGGCAGGTGCATGACTAAGGGTTTCAGACCCGGTGAAGTTTGCTCAATATTGATAAGAAGGTTGCCTTAGATAAGAAGGCTGCCGAGAAGTTTGACAACTTTGGCTGCTCTCAGCTGATTAACATTCTAAAAAGTTAGTGGAGAATTCAAAGAATTTATAATAATAATAAGTTCCTACAATCATCCCTTTAAAATATTAGATAGTTCAGGCCAGGCACAGTGGCTCACGCCTGTAATCCTAGCACTCTGGGAGGCCAAGGCAGCAGGATCGCTTGAGGTCAGGAGTTTGAGACCAGCCTGAGCAAAAGCAAGACCCCGTCTCTACCAAAAATAGAAAAAATTAGCTAGGTGTGGTGGCGTGCACTTGTAGTCCCAGTTACTTGGGAGGCTGAGGCAGTAGGATCACTTGAGCCCAGAATTTTGAGGTTGCAGCAAGCTACAGTGATGCCACTGGACTCTAGCCCAGGGCAACAGAGCAAGACTCTGTCTCAAAAAAAAAAAAAATTAGTTCAGAGAATTTCAACTAGCATAACATTAAGTACCTGTTAACTTTTCTTTGAATCATGAGAGGTAAGTTTAAGAAGGAAAACGTCTATGGCTTCTGGTTTTATGTCTATAGTATTTATAAATTTCTCAGAATATGGACAAGAGACCCAGGGCCTCATTCATACTTTAATCCAAATTAACTCTTAATACCTGAACAGCTCAACCTCACAAATCCTTAAGAGTCATAAAATTATTGAGAAGTTTCTCGCTGAGCATCTGTGTAGCACTTCATCCTCCTCAGAAGGCTGTTATCTCCCTGCTTCAGGGCTCAATTCCATTCAACACAAACTCATTGAATACCCAGCCCTGTCCTGGCACTTGGTGGGACAGAGAGAAATTTAAACAGATCATTTCGACAAAATATGGCAAATGCTTTGATAGCGTAATGCCTGGAGTGCTCTGAGAAGAAGAGAAAGGGCATGTAGCAGGGCAGGATGAGGAGGGCACATGGTCAAGGAAAACCTCCTGGATGACTGCGTGTCTCAGGTGCAGAAAAGGGGATACCTGAGCAAAGCACAAAGGCATGCTGCATTTGCAGAGTTACAAGCTATCGACATTCCTAGAGCATGATGTATGAAGTGGAGAGGGGTGAGAGATGACCCTTAGAGAAGAAGGGGACAGGACACAGGAACTTTGCAAGACATGCTAAGGAGCTTGGATTATAAAACGTAGATCAGTTGTTACTAAATCTGGCTACACACAAAAATCATCTGGTGGACCTTTAGGGACCCTGATTACGTCTGGCCTGAGGACCTGGAATCTGCATTTTCAAAAGCTCTTCAGCCAAAGGCACCAATAAAGGGATATAAACAAGGAGCATGCATCATCAGATTTATACTCCAGGTAGATTATTTCAGCAGTAGTGTGGAATATAGATTTGAAAAGGCGGAAAGAATGGATGCTCAGACCAGAGAGAAGGCTTCTGCAATAGTCTATGCTTAAATATCATGCAACCTGGGCCAGGGCAGAGAGACAAGGTGGAAAAGAGGACATACATATGAGAGGTAGTTAAGGATGAAATCAGTGGGACATCATGATTTGTTCAATGTGGGAAGATGAGAGAAAGAGGGGAATCGAGGAGGACTTGCAAATCTCTGGCATTGAAAACTGGGTGGACGATAGTGCTGTAATAGAGGAGGAGCGTGCAGACGATGCAAGGCCAGACAGGAGGGCTTCAGTGAGGAGCTCAGTGTGGACTACTTGACCTGGAGCTATCTGATGACAAGCCACATGTAAGGGGCTGGATGTTTTTCAACACATATGAAGCTCAGGGAACACTTGTGGACAGGCAATGGAATCATGAACATATAATACCAACTCTTACATCCATCTACTTTCTCTGTTCCCACTGCCCTACCATAGTTTGGGCCACTCCCATCTCTCACCAGGTTTACTTCAACAGCCTCCTAATGGGCCTCCCTAACTTCAGGCTTGCCTTCCTGGAGTTAATTTTTTTAAATTCAGCAGCCTGACAGATCTTTCCAAAAGGAAAATCTGAGCTTGTCACCTCGTGAAGGACACTCTGCCACAGCTTCCTATCACCTTAGGGATAGAAAGCCCAAACCCCTGAGCATGGCTTCCAAAATCCCCTCTTACTTAGCCCAGTCTACCTCGTGGACTGTGTTCCCCAGCAGTGTCACGTAGAACGCTATGGGAGCGCCACCCGCTGGAGCTCAACAACACAGCAGCCCTGGCTGGTACAACACAGTGAAATGGCCAAAGTTTAATTTTAGAATCAACTACTAGATAAAGCAATGATATTGCATCAAACTTACTACTCAAACCAACCTTTTATTTCTTAGGCTTGTGTAGCTTGCCCTCAGAGAGGACTATGATGGCGGATATTATCAAGAGGAATGAAAAAAGGATTGACCTGTAAGAATGTTTTTTTAAAAAATTCTTTACATAGAGCAGTGTTCCTTGAAGTACAGGGATCTAAGGACTTACAAGAACCACCTATGTGCCTAATAAAAATGCAAAGTCCTGGGCTACAGCCCAGACTAACTGAATCAGAAGCTCTGTGGATGAGACTGAAAATTTGCATCTTTACTTTCTTCTTTGGTGATTCTTATACATACTAGTTTAAGAACCAACTACTTAAAGACAGGAATTATACCAAATCAGAACATTTTTTTTCTTCATTTAATTTCATTTCAGTTTTATACGATGCCCATATCAGATTCGTATCTTCTCAGGCCATCCACTCTCTGCGGTTAGAGAGGGAAATGGGATGAGAGCAGTGGTGGTGACAGTAGCTTAAATGTCTTTGGAAAGTCAAAAGAAATTAGGCGGAGGTGTGTGTGAAGGTTCGAGGATTTGTACTTTATGATGAGGTGGGATGGGGTTCAACAGTGATCAAGCACCCTTGGAAAGTTGACTTGGGGCCTTATATCAGTTGTAAGGAGTTATCTCATGTCCAAATTCTAATTTATCTAATACTTACTGAGCATCTACTATACGCTGCCCACACTGCCGGGTATTTAGTAATTTTAGAAGCAAACATTGAGCATCACCTCTGGGCAAGACGCTCAGCTATGCTTTCATATGTGTTGTCTCATGACTCTTTGCAGCAATAGAGACTAGTACATAGGTGCCTGGCGTATGTACTTGCAGCTGCTTAATAACTGCCAAATAATAATCATGCTTATCAACCTTGTCATAGTGCTAGAGCTTCCATGAATTCATGGCTATTTTATGATCTATTCTCAATCTGAGATATGGGTCTCTTGATGGGATAAACTCACACTTACCACCAGAGATTCATTCCAAACCCATTCCTTCATTCTTTCAACAGCTATTGAATGCCCAATATTCTTATACAACTTAAAACATTTTGTGAATCTTCCCTTCTTACTTTCTTCATTAAGGTTTGGAGAAAGCCAGAGCCAGATATTGCAGACCAATTATGTCGACTATTTGGATGAGCTCGCCTTAGAGATAGGTGCAAAGCCAGCCTTTGGCGCTCTCTTGTTAACAGACCTCAAACTGGCTGTGAAACTCTATTTCGGACCCTGCAACTCCTATCAGTATCGCCTGGTTGGGCCGGGACGATGGGAAGGAGCCAGGGGTGCCATCCTCACCCAGAAGCAAAGGATACTGAAGCCTTTGAAGACTCGTACTCTGAAGGTTTCATCTCATTTCCCAGTCTCTTTCCTGTTGAAAATCCTGGGGATCCTTGCTGTTGTTGTGGCATTTTTCTTCCAGCTTCGATGGTATTAATCTGTCAGCAGAATGCTTTTGGCTTTATTGCCTTGTCAGTCAATACTTCTTAAAAGAAAAAAAAAGACTAAAAGAAAAAATACTAATTCTACATTCTAAATGTAGATTTTTAGAGTTAGGAAGAACTAATAACAGGGGCAATTGTGGAGATTAGCAGAATTAGGTCTACGTATAAAACCAAAATGGAGTTATGAAATTTCTTTGCCATTCCACCCTTACCTCAGTTCAACAGATTTTTCAAAAAAGTGTGATAAAATAACATTGGCCCAGGTGGATGGTGCTGCCAGACCCGACAGAGGGGAGTTGTGTAGGAAAATAGTAGAATTACACAGAATGAAAAGCAGTCCCCATTGTTTAAATTATTGGGCAGTTTAAATTGTGGGTAAGTATTCAAAACTCCTGTGCAAACTTCTTTTTTTTTTTTTTGAGACAGAGTCTCACTTTGTTGCCCGGGCTAGAGTGCCGTGGCGTCATCCTCGCTCACAGCAACCTCAAACTCCTGGGTTCGAGTGATCCTCCTGTCTCAGCCTCCCGAGTAGCTGGGACTACAG